GAAATTCAACTCTTCACAGAATCATAGAATAATTTTGGAGGACCTCTCACCCAGCACACATCTTTAAGTAGTTAAAGTAGTTAAGCTTTACTTTCCCCAGAGCTCTCAGAGGACTTAGTTTCCTTGTCTGTCTCCCTCATTTTCTCCTTTTAGTTTTTCTATTCCATTTTAAATCTATCATGGATGTTCTCTTGGTGTTTATCTACACCTGCCACATCTACTTCAAGAAGTTGATCTTATGGTATAATTAACTCATTTTAATACTAAAGCATCATTACCTCCACATTTTCCACTTTTACCCTAATTTTGCTCTTTGGAATGTCTCATTAGGGATATGCTTCTAAGAAGTTTTCACCAAACAAAAGAGCACATTGATTAGAAAATTACTTCAAAGAAGCTTGCCAAGTTATCATGATGATTCACTTTCTGTGCTAGCTGTACTGTGAGTTGTACTGCTAGCCATATGCAACCAAATTGTAACAGTTATTTTGGTAATTGTCTGCATTTGGTTAATATCTTTTGACTCAGCACAAATTCCTTGGTAGAGGACATGATGTCATATGGGCCATTAAATCTATAACTGGCTATAAACAGTAAGTACCTATTAGAACTCCAGGTACCCTTTTTCGAGCAATAAGAGTATTAGATAGAGACAGAAACACAAGCATATCAGCTCCCCAGTGATCAAACTCAGAATTGTTACACATAAGTAAGTGCTTACGAGTCTCTCATACATGCAACATAAATCAGAATTTATGTTCAAAGTCAGCTAGAACTTGCTGAGTTGCAAAAATGACACAGATCAGTAGAGCAGTTCAAAGTTGCATGCTAGTAGCACCTTCCATGTCTGGTATAAATCAGTTTGCACTTTGCTTTTATTTTCGTTAATCTGAGCAGCATATGCTTTGGGAATCAGTACATTCAGAGGTGTGGTTTAAGACATCACCATAATCACAGCTGCACAGTATTACTATGATTGTGGAAAAGAATTGTCTGTGTTCCCATTGAAATTATTAATATGGACCTGCCCTGTATTGCCATTCAGGAGAAATTCAGCACAAGCCTATCTGGGAATGAGCTGAACTTTTCCCTAGACTGCTGATTGCATGATCAGATCTATATAGCAGAACTTAGACACCTGGCACATAAACATTTGAGTACAGACATCTTAATCTGCACTTGAATTCCACACCAAATTGAATAATCAGTAACACCAAGAATGACAGGAAATATAAGTTGTGTGCCTTTTTTTTAACCATCTTGCCTGGCCTAGGACTCAACATGAGGAAAAAAATATTTGCAGTCTCTGTGGATACATATATGATACTGATCCCCACGCAATGGTAACCAGGTAACAAATTCTGAAGAAGATTGAAATTTACTTTTCACATGTTGTAGTTTAATTTTGTTCAAAGAAATTGTACGATTAAATAAATGTCTTTGCCTTATATTTCTGTAGAGGATACCTCACATGCATATCAGTTCTCAACCCATTCCACTCTACAAGCATTCAAGAAAAGGTAAAATCCTCTTCAATAATATGATACACCCTTTTGGAAAAGTATTTTCTTGATTGTTTCCTTTAACACAACACAGCCCTACGGATATGTTGAGGAACTCCCCATGTAGCAGTTTATACTGTGGGAAGTGTTCCAAGTCAGTAGTGCCAAGCATTGTCTGTGAATAATTGGTCTAATAAGAGCTTAGCAGTGTTTAAAGAATACAGGCCAGCTAAGTAAAAATCATTGTCTGTTCCATTCAGACAGCCACAGTTTTTGTTGCATAAGCTTTATATGATATCAGAATTTGTAAATCATATATTTGAAAGGAATGCAAAGGAGCAATTTGTGACTTAAAAAAAAAAAAGCTAAAAAGTGAAATGGAATGTGGTCAGTCAGATCTTAGATAGGAGGCTAAAAAAGCATCTGTAAATTGCTGGATATCAGCTCAAATCTCCACTGCAATTTTCTATTCCACCTCTAACACAAAATGCATTCAGAGTTGCATAAGATTGGTATTACATGAGAGCAGACAATGTCTATCATTTTCTCTCCATTTTAAGGGATGAGAAAAATCAGTTTTCTCAAATTGAATCTTCAAAATGCACCTTGTTGAGAGAAATGGAAAAAAAGTAACTTCATAAAATGCTGTTGTCTTAGTAAATGTCCCATTTAACACTGAATGAGAACTGGGCAGAGATTGCGCTGTGAAACTCCAGATCAGATGAAACATCTGTTTTTTAATTTTACTAAAATTCAAAACTGAGCCTGGGTTCTTTGAAAGCTTTCTTGAACTTCACAGGCGTTTTTGTATTACAAAACATAGCTTCATTGAAAGCTGTCCTAGTTTGTGGTTTCAAATGGACACCACAGAAAAATTTTGGATTTTCACGAGATTTGGTGAAACTTGGTGATTGTGAGAGCTTTCTTTACTTTTTTTTTAATGTGAGCAAATAGAAAATGAATAATTTTATGGCCTATGTGGATTGCAATCTAAAACCAGGGTGAGTAGAAAGAGGAAAATCGTTTGACCCCAGTAAATGAACACCAGCAAATAATTTGTTGTCCACAAATTTTATGAGACAATAACAAATTATATTAACTGTGAACAGCTTTGTATTTGGGGTTATTTCAGGGTGCATTTTCTAAGAAATAAAGAAGTATTTCTGAAGTGACAATCCCAAATGAATGGCTGTGAATGCAAATATTGATTAACTCTGCCTGAGTGATAAGAATTCAAGTTTTCTGATTTGCCTTTTTCCACAGTCAGTCCTGGGAAAACCCCAGTGATGGAAAAGATAAAATGCAGCAGTAAGTAAAGCATATCTAGCAGTAAAAATATCTAAAATCTAAATGTTTAATATTTTAAAATATCTATCTGGAAAAGGATTTGTCCAGCTCTTATTTTCAGCAAAAGCATTTAGAAAACTGTATAGTAATAATTATCTGCATATTGGTAACTGTTGGACTTTAAAAATTCTAAAATAGCTCTCCGATGTTATTCCAGCCAAATAGATTGAACATTTGCATTAATATTGCAGTTCGGTCTTTCACTATTTCTGCTTGGCTAAATATGCCAAGAGTTACGCTGAGAAATGGCAGTTGTTTGCTCAATTCCTGTCCTATACACCCTTTAACAACAGCTAAACATTTATGGGAGCTTTTTGACACAAACCTTTTTTGAAAAAAGGTTTGAGCTTTTTTCCTACATTTCTATCAGGGTTTCATGAGCCAGTGAAGAGAGAAAAAAAGAAACTCGCAATAATGTGCCAGGTTTAGAGGATGGTCTTCAAGTGGAAAGATATGTTTTATACATAATCTTTTGCAGTGAACTGTATAAGAGCTTTGAGAAACAAACTTAGGGCTTAGGCATTTTATTCTCTGTGGATCTTGGATGTTCAAGTCTTCCAATTTAGTGCCAATGGCAATTGCAGAACTACAGCATAATCACTAAACTCTTTAGATATCTAAATTCCCATAGATAAATACATGCAAGTTGTATAGCCATTGGGAACAGAAAAAAAAATTGATGAACTGATGGGAAACCATGTTTCATCCACGTTCCAAGCATAATTATCAGTCTCAGAAAATACTGATGTTCACAAGAAGGACCCAAAACTCAAAGTGTTTTCCATACTGATTTGAGGAACGTAGATTCAAACACTTCCTCAAGAAAGAAATTAGACCTCAGTCCTCATGCCATAGTCCTATCTACCATTCAGTATAATCATCTTTTTTCTTTTATTTCCAAAGGTATTTTCAGAGCTGAGAGTTCAAACAGAATGACGTCAGGAATCTGTCCAGCTTTTCTTTGTCACTCCACATTAGGTTTTTACTCTGCATTCACCCCTTTACTCTGCATTTCATCCCACAGCTTTCTGGCAAGGAGGCATCTGAGCATCCTTTTCCAGGAAATAATGTAAGGGAAGCTTAAGACCCAGGTACGGTTTTATATTGTTTGACTGGACACTGAAAGTAGGTGTTTTTGATGAACTAATTTCTTTTCTCATCTGTTCTTCTTTTCATCTATTTCCTAATGCCAAGTAGTTTCCCAACAAATTATTCTCAAACAACAGAAGAGAATAATATAATAACCATAAGGACGTAATGCTTCACTATGTTTTGAAGTAACATTATTTCTCAATCTCATATTGTTGCAGATAATTCTTTTCCCACAATACAATTGAGTGAATCATTCTGGATGAAATAAGAAAATGTGAAACCTAAATGTTTGGTTTGTTAGAAAAGTTGCCAACAGTTAAGCAAATTGCGTCTGTAAAATTCATTTGAACTTATGTTCATTTATCCTCAACTCAACGATTTAACCCTTGCTTATGTTGTTTTCCTTTGTTTTATGAAGGTTCAAGGTTCAAGGGTAAAACCAGCTGATTTAAGAAAAGATTGAAGATCTTGCAGTGTATATGTATAGAAATATTGTATCAGTTAACTAGCTGTAGTGAAACTAGTGTATACTTTCCCACTATTTTCATAAAAAGTGAGATTTTGGACAGATGGGTAAGTAAATATTTTGTCATTCATTTATAGATTTCAGAAGAGAAAGTACAAACAACAGACAGCAGATCTTCCATGCTCTGGAGTCAATAAATTTTCTAACAAGTCTTAAACTTCCAATACTTGAAATACTTACAAGCAGGAGGGGGACTGACATTTTATGTGGGTGGGAGTGATATGGCAAGGGCAAAGGAATTTAAACTGAAAGAGAAGAGGTTTAGATTAGAGATTATGAAAATTTCTTCACTCAAAAGGTAGTGAGGCACTGGCACAGCTGCCTAGAGAGGCTGTTGATGCCCCATCCCTGAGGACATTCAAGACCTGCGCAAGGTATGTGCAGTGTGGTCTAGTGGCTGGCAACCTTGCCCATGCAGAGGGGTTGGAACTTGGTGGAACTAAGCCATTCTTTGGTACAATGTTATGAAAGTTACAATGAATTAGATTCAGATAAAGATTCTTTTTTTTTTTTTTTTTTTTTTTTTTGCATATTTTTCAGATGAGTTTCACCAACCGAATTCTGTTTTGTTTTGGTTTTTTTTTCTCATAAAGTTTATCATAAGAGCCTTTTACGTTTGTTTTCTATAGAACATCGAAGTGCTATTGTTTTCAGTGATGTAATATTTGTATGCTTTCAAACTCTGGTTTAAGCAAAAATTTTTAGTAAGGTGTCTTAAGAACAGAAGGGCAAAACAACTGATTTCTTCAACTGTTTAACTTATAAATAACACGCCTATAACTTAACCTTTTCAGAGCATTACAAAAGCAATGTCACTATCTCTTTAATCGCAGTACCTGAAATTCCAGTTAACCTTTTGCATATTATCTACTGTTGTTTATTCTTAAGGTCAGGTTAGTTTGTTCTATTTTCTTTGTTGCCAGTTGTCTTTGGCCTTCATTGCATATTCTTCTAAACACAAATCTGTCATTTTGATACTCTGTGCTTTTATAACCTCTGTGAAGTGTTTCAGTAATAGCTACCAAATAAACAAAATGCAATGCGGTGGCAAAACTGTGGCTACATACTCTAGGATAAAAAGTCCCTAGTTATCCAGCTGAAACATTGGAATACAATACTGAGAGGAGAAAAGCTGGAGCAGCCAGTGGAGCAGCCCTTAATCATTGTGATCATGCGACTGAGACACCTCATGCATTGGGGTCTTAAAGATAATTTTGGTAATTAAACTCTCAAGGGGAACTATTAAAGAGAATAGCAAATTATGATCATCTTACACTACATGATTTGTGCACCTGAACTGCCTGTGTGATGTACAGTACCGGACCCAGAAACATGGAGAATGTCTGAACAATATAATCTTCCTGTGGCCATCCTCACACGTAAGGCTGGACCAAGGGCCAAGATTTGGAAAATTCTAGAGGAGTTTTCTATTTGTCTCATGCAGTCTCTTGTATTTTCAGCCACTGTATTTAAATCAGTGGGAACATCTGCAGAGAATACAACAAATTAAAGATTTGGTTAATTTTGAATTTAACACAGAGAGCTGTCCTAAGTTTCCTGCAGTTATTTTTCACTTTCTATTTGCATGCGTCATTGGATATGGAAATGGTTTACAGAAAGAATATGTATAGACTCTTCCCTCTACTTAACCTCAGAAAGACTTGTTATATTTCAGCAAAATCTTTTAAAATAGAATTGATATAGAACCAACAGTCTTGTCTATGCTAGTGTCTCTTTTAATAAAGCAAATGTAAACAAATAGGACTACTTCTATAAGAGGGAATCTTACCATATTAATAAAAATTTTTATGCAGAACTTTACTTGTTTAGAGACTTGTCACAAAGGATGGCACTTTCTTGAGGATGGCACTTTCTCTGGTCCATAAATACAATTAATCCCAGGTTTTATTTTATAATATTTACAAAAATTTGCTTTCAAAACCTGAAAACTAGTTCAGATTCTCTTAATGTTTGTTCTTAATGCCTTTAATTGCAATGAATTTAAACTGCGCTGTTGAAGTATCTAAATACTGTACTAGTTAGTACAATATAATCCATGTGAGCTTTAGTCATATGAATTACCCAACACCAATTTTAATAGCTGAGCCAGGTTTCAGCTATAAAGTAAAGATCTAAAAAAAAGATTAAAAAATAATTTAAAAATATTTAAAAATAAAAAAAAGATATAAAAAAAGGTTAAAGATAAAGTTAAGTAAAATACCCACATGGGATTAAAGAGTCGTCTGTTGTGCTACTAAATATCTGGAACAACAGCCCCAGATAGCAATTTAATCAAGATCTTTCCATTCCCTCTACTCAGATGTTCATTAAACAAATCAATATTCTCAATTCAGCATTTTGTTGTTGTTGCTAGCAATTTCAAAGTACAGTTGTTGCCTTTGCCTATATGAAAGAGATGCAATGGAAGTTCCCTTTCCTTTTTAGCCAGGTTTTGAAAAATTTTTTGAATGCCATGTTCATGCAGAAATTCCCCATTTCTCCCTCCAGAGTTTCCACATGCTTTCTATGAGCAGAAGACAGCCCATCAAGAGGCAGGCTCAGCATATTAGCATGGCAGGCCAAGGAGTTCAGATACCCCAATGAAAACAGACTTGCTAAGAAGTAGTTCTGTGTCCCCACAGTATATGTTGCTCAACTTTATCTCTGGAGAGGGAGCAGAGAGCTCAGAAGAATTCACAAATGTTGCCTTTGTTAATGGCTTTCTATGCTATTGGTTACATTTTGTAGATATCTGTAGATATTTCCTACAGGCTATATAAGAAAATTGGGCAAGCTGCACCAGTTATTTCTTTACTTTCTACGGAGATAGAAAACTGTGCTTTGCAAGACATTACCTAGAGGTGTCTTGCTTTTCTGGATCTCAGACTAAACCCTTTGTTCAAAATTTGCAGATTACAAAGAGTTAATGCTGACTTCAGGAATCTGTAGGCTGGATTGTAAAATATCCAGCCTGCAAGAATATTCAGGCTCCTCTACTCTTATCTATAGCAATTGCTTATGCAAAGAAAGGACGTGCTGTTTTACCTCTTTGTAAAAGAAGTCCAAAGTAAACCTTCGGAAACATACAACAAATGGCCAAAAAATGGTCTTAATATTCCCTAACAGAATTGGAATGCTCATCCTGCAATCCCAAGCTGGTTTAGGAAAGATCATTGCACCTTTGAAACAGAATCTCTTGCTAAAGAAATATTCTTGAATAATTTTTTCAATGTTGACTGTACTTTCTGTGCTTCCTATACTGAAACGGATGTTCTCATACATATTTCAGTGAGGGTTTTTTTGGTTGGTTTTTTTTTTTTTTTTTTTTTTTTCATTTTAGCAGCTCTCTGTGAAAATTTCTTTTTATATGTGATTAATGTCACTTTTTAACATGTGTCTGGGTTTGCTGGCACTGTATAATCCTTGCAAAATCAAAATCCAGAGGAGCTGGCACAGGAATTTTTGCCTGCAGGAGCATATTTCTCTTCTTTTTGGTACTTGCCAAAAGTAAGAGAAACGTCTTTAATTGGCTCGAGTAAGGAAAGAATAGTTTTGAATTCTAAATATTTCTTATTTTGAATTTGGTTTGAATAACATGGCACTGTTTAAATTGCACTATTTAATCCACCCATGCTAAATTTTTCCCTTTTCCAAAGGAAAATCATTGCAGTATTTGTGCCTTTAATATTGTGTTAGAGAAGTACAGAAAATAATGCTGAGAAAGAGAAGCAGGTGGTCATCTTATCCAGACAGGATTTGCTGGATAAAAATCCTCAAACCTTTATGCAAACTGCTTTTAAAAATCTTTGGTGGTGAGAACTTCACCAGCTTCTGAGACCATGAGCTAGTACTTAATCAAACCCTTAGAAAGTCTGTATGATATTCAAGCTGAATTTTCCTGCTGTGATTTAATCTCCTCCCATCCTGTTCAAGAGTGAAGAACAGACCCCATTCTCTTTACAAGTGATTTATAAACGAAGATTGCCATTATTTTTCTCTTCAGTCATTATTTTTTAGATTATGCAGTTGCTTCTAAGCCATGTTCACAGGTCATTATTTCTATGTCATTATTTCTAGACTTCTCTTCAAGCTTGTGATACACTTTACAATTGGAGTGGGATGAAGGTCTTGGAAGAGGAAGGCAGGAAAAAGTGAGGGGCTGTTTTTTCTCTTATAAATGAACTCAGGATACAATCCAAGAGCTCAAGCCAGCCCTGGCAAGAATGCACAGTATGGAAATCTCAGGTCATTGACAGAGAACAGGATTTAGTCAGCATGAGCTGGGGTCAAAGAGTAAGTTCTTCACACTGATTTCTGGAAGTAACCTTTGGGCTTTGTAAGTGATGAAAACTAGAGACTGTTCCAGCAGAGGCCTCACAAATGTTGAAAAGAATGGTAGGAAAATTTCATCTTCCTGGCAATTGAGACTTTTCTTTATATATCTCTTGAGTTTTCTTTATATGTCTTTGGATAATGATTGTCTCTTTGTTGCATGAAGCTGCTGAATTTTGTTTAGTTTGTCATATTCTATAAGTACTCAGGCCTACTGTATCTCTTTCTTCATTTTTGTCCTCCTAAATATGGATCATTTAATTCCTTCTTATAGTATTTCATACTTCTTTTTTTTTTCCAGATCATTTCTCCAACTTGTTAAAATCATTGTGAGCTTTAATTCTATCTGTCATGCAGCAGTCATGCATCTACTCTCAAGACACGATACTTACTAATATAAAAAGTATATTCTTCAGTCTGTTACTCAGATCACTAGAGGTACTTCTGAGCACAACTGCTGTCTGAGCAGTTATGGAATCTCAGCCAGCACCTTCTTGTTTGGCAATACACCATTAGCAGTTGTCACATGAATAAACTTTTCCTAGAAGTTCTGTGCACACCTTTATCAAATTTTCCTTTCAAATTTATTGTTTTCTGAGGATATAGCCTTTGCTTCAGTGAGCCTGACTGTTATATAAAATGGTAACAAAAGCTTAGCTAAATCAAATTTCCTGAAATCTGCTGCCTCCTCTACAAGGTAGTTTCTGGAGCACAAAAGTTGAGGAAAGGAGGCTCAGGGTTGACCTCACTGCTTTCTACAAGTGCCTGAAAGGAGGTTGTGGCAAGCTGAGGATCAGCTTCTGCTCCCAGGTAACAGTTATTGCTTGTCCTATCAATGTTACACAGAAAAGGGGAGGTTCAGATTGGATATTTGGAAAAACTGCTTTCTCAAAAGAAGTGGTAGTGCATTGGAACAGGCTGCTCAGAGAGGTAGTGGAGTCACCATCGCTGGAATTGTTCTGGGAAAAGGTGATTTAGGATATGGTTTAGTGGACATGGTGGTAGTGGCATGATGGTTGGACTAGACAATCTTAGTGATATTTCCAACCTTTATGACTCTATAATTTTATGATTATATTGTTCCCAACCTTAGCTGGTGTGGCCACCAATCCATTTGCTTCCCAAGCATTTTTACCTTGTATGTTGTCAAAAGGCGCCCACTAATACTGGTACTCTTTGGACAGGAGTGGCACAAGAGAGAGCAGTGTTACAGGGGCCTCAGCAGTGCTGTAGAGCTCCTGCCTCTCCTTACAGATGCCAGGATGCTTGCAGATCAGCACTGCCAGCCACGTGTACACCTTGCAAGGAGGGACTGTACTGGAAAAGAATAATAAACAAAAATGAGCCTAGTAGATTAAGGAACAAAATGTGTGGTTTTGATTTATGCAATTAATGCATCAATGAAATTTCTTTTGTAATGACTCTCTTTAAAACAAAATATTATGTAACTTTCCATTTCTCCATGAAGCTGTCATAATACTATAAAGATACATTTGCTGAGTTTGGAAAGTCTACTTTCTCTTAGTACCTTATTAATTACAGTCTATATTCTTCTGCCTGCTGTCTCCTGACTGTATAAAATGAAATTTTTGTTGAATTAAATAAACTCCTAATAAAAGCAACAAAGGGAATTTTGCAATAGATTAAAGTGATACATAGAAAAAGGGGTCTTTGCACATCTCTTAGCTACCTATTTATTGGAGAATTTTTCAGTTCTCCAACACTTTTGTATTAGGAACATATATAAATACGCATACTGTGTGTGTGTATGTACATGCTTGCAATAAATACACATACTGTGTGTGTATGTACATGCTTGCATTTTGTCATACGTTGTTTGGTAACATGCCATACTCTGTTTGGTAACATCAAAACTAAGATTCCTGAAAGAGTACTACCACAGAGCTGAGCACTCTAGGTGCTTTAGACAAATAACATGCAAGTACTAAAAGCACATCTTTTATGCATAAATCTTGCAAATGAACAAGTGTAAATTAATCTTTTTAATATCTACTTGCAATCTATAGAGGTAAATAAATTACAGCACAAAGTGATTTAACATCAAGCTTGCTGTTTTGTTTTTACAGTGTGTTTGAACATTCGCTTCACTTCAAATTAGGAATTCAGTAGAACTAGGTCAGGTATACTGTGCATAACTGAAATTTATCTTAGATTCAGTTGACATACAATTCTGCAATATCATAACAAACAGCTAAAGTAAAGCTAGAGAAATGAAAGTTTGGATCTTCATGATGAAGCATCTTCATTAACAAAGCAGATCTGAAATGAGTGATTGTCGATCTATCAGCATAAAATTTGGATGCTATCTGAATTAGGAAAGACCAGTGTGAATTACTAGTGGCTAACCCAATATTTCCCTTGTGTTATATGTTTCCAAAACAAAGAAACTAATATAGGAAGATAAGTAACAATGCTTAACAGGATGGTTTATTTCCATGTATGTACATTTTTACCAGTTTTAATTTTCCCAAAAATCTTATCAGCCACAGCAGCTCAATATGCAGAAGACTTCCTTAGAACTGAGAAAGTATTGTCTTTCTTCCTCTGCAGTATCTTGCCACTACAAAGGCTCACTTGTTTGTTGATCTTGTTTACACACCTACTGCCTCTACTTTGTGTGAAGGTTTTCACTAAGAATTTTCTTGTGTACTTTCATAGCAAACTCATCTGCATCTCTCGCTTGCTAGTTCATTTTTCAGAACACTCTGTGAGTGTTCTGAGGAAATAATGCACACTAATGAGGAAATAATTCATACTAATTTTCCTGCTGATTCCTGCATAGCTTCTGATAATTTCTCATGACTGCCATTACAGCTTTTTATTCATCTTTGCTGAGAAATTTTCTCAATAGTATACTGTAGTTAATCAACATTCCATTTTTCACTTCACCGATATTAAACACGATCAATTTCCAACAGTGCTAATTTGAGATTATTGTTTTAATGCCAATATACTGTAATAGTGTGCAAAGGTTTTGTTGAGTACTTTCTTGTGGAAAAAATAACTCTTCTGAATTTGAGGGAAAGCCAAATTAAATTTCGAATACTTGAACTGTGGTTCCTAAAAGATAGAAATAAGCACCAGAAGTTTTTGTATGAAAAATGAAACAGATCCTGTTTCTTTGTAACCAGACAGAAAGTAGAAATATTGTATTTTTCCCAGGGCCTTCCATGGTGGAAGAAAAAGTGGAGTTCAGAGCTTGAACTGCTGGCTAAGCATTGGTCCATTTTTAACAATTTATATGAGCCAGGTGAAAAAGAGCTATTCATAGAGATAAGGATGCTGCACCTTTCTGCATGATGTAGAATTTCTATATTTATTTGATTTGAACAATAACAATGCATTATATAAATAAATAAATGAAACGGAAACTAATTCATTACACAGTCCTAACTAATCCATATATATAACTGATGTAGGTCTTTCAGTGAATCTCAGAATAGTCTGTTAAAACCAAGACAATTGGTTTTTTTTTTATCTTTATTCTTGACGGTCAAAGTTGCTACTTACACTCACAGGTAATATCGAGGTCATACTTCAAGCTTGAATTAGATCTAAATAAAATGGGCTATCTATTGTGTCTAGGCCATGGCACAAATATTGTCTTACTTCTAGTGGAGTTTCTTCTATGGCTGAGTCCACCTGTGCAGCAATTATCATCTCCAAAACAGCTAAGATGTATTAGAAAAAAAAATTGAGGAAACTTTTACTCAAATAGAACCCTGTTAGTGTTCATAAATCCTCTCTGAAGACCTTGTAAATGTTTAACTGTTCCCAGTGTAAATTATTAACTGAATATGAACTTGAAATCATCTTCAACCAGCTGAAAAAAGTACACTGTGACTGTTTTATATTTTGAATTAAATAGCTGTTCAGTTTTAATTAAACATATTGGTCATGGAATATTGTTCTACCACAAACCTATATGTATCTAGAGCCTCCCATTCACCTTCCTTATGTCGATTGCCTTGCCATCCAGCAAAATAAGGGTTATAACTACTGAAATTAACACACAAATATGCCAGATGAATTATCTTCTTTCCTTGTTCTTTTTATTATTTTAATTCAGATTGTTTCCCTGAACTAGTTTGTGGTGTTGTTTTTTGTTTTTCTTTTTCTTTTTCTTTTTGGGGGAAGGGGGGTTGTTAGTTTGTTGTTGTTTTTCTTGTTTTGAGTTAGTTGATTTTCAGAGGTTGAATAAAACTTTCTATATTGCTTGTTGATAGAGCAAGATTTCACACTGTCCCAGTGCTGAGACATTTCTGCATCAAGATACAAGTTCAGAACATCAGATCAGGGCAAATTAGATTAGAATACTGGCCTGTCAATCAGCGAAGAAAAGTTACTCAGGAGCAGTAATCATTCAGTTTTTACAGCTGTTCATACACCAATCTTATCAGGTGAGTTCCACCAAGATAATCTCTCCTAATAGAAGGAGTAAGACCAAAGAGATAACTGGTAAAGTCTATTTGCAGAAGATAAGCACCTATATTCTCATTCCTATTGTTTGCAACAACTTATTTCCAATTTCCTGTGCTCCAACTACAAAGGTCTTAACCACTGTAGAGGCTTAATAGTGCTACATCTCCTACTTTTCTTCGTGTTTGGCAAAGCAATCAGCCCAGGACATTTTATGTTACCAATCCTTTCTCCCAATCTTGTTACCATACCATGTGCCAGAACTCACTAAGTAGCCCCTGAAATTATGCATTTTCATCTTACACTGACAGATCCTTTTCATATGTTCATAATACCTGTTTTCTTTTTAACTAGCTTCCACTCAGCATTGGCTACCCCTACAGCCATTATTCTCCAGTGTTTGGTCCAGGGATTTGCTTTGACCATTTCCTGACAGGAATGAAGAATGAAAGCAAGAACTACAACACAAGTTCTTCCCATCAATTCCAAGCAATGTACCTGCAGTGTATATTGGGTTTCCATATCAGAGCGCATACTGTTAATGTGGGTGCCACCTTTGTTGTCCCAGACATCAACCTGACTTTCTTCAATTTTCTTCATCCTGGGCTGAAGAAACTATGTCTGATTGCACCCAGTCCTGCAGGATCTTCTTTGCTTTTCGAAGAACAATGGATTGTTTTTGTGGAGAAAAAAAAAAAATACAACAAATTTTCCAAAACACAGAAACTGTGTGTTCTGTTGGTTGAAAATCATCCCAACAAGTTGACAATTCAGGGTTTATGAATAAGTCATGGGTGACAGACATTCAAGGGGATGTAAATGTGCTAATTTTGAGGTGATTCATAACAACAGTCTTTTCTACAAGACAGATATTTCTTGTCATCTGTGGCTTAATGGTAGAAAATACTTCCTTCTGTTCCTATGTAATCATCAAGAGGCAAAACTGAAACTTGTTCTTATTGCTTCACAATATTTTGACAGAGCAGCAGACTCAAAATGCTTTATGTTTTAACAACTTATAGCGACACAGAACGAAATTACATAATGACATTCATAGAGACTGTGCTGTGCCATCTCAGTTTTTGTGTTTCCTATAACATCCACATTCCTTATGGTGTGAGAGTAAAAGAGCATTTAAGTTGAAGCCCAAATGTTTTCCTTCAGTGAGAAATTCATTTCCCACTTTCAATGAAGTCACTGAATGAATGGCTTTGAAAAGCACTTCTAGTAGCCGCTTGGCTCACATCCCTGACTTCAGAACACTAACTGCAGCCTATCCTATTAATTTCTGGGAGCAAGTAGCAACCAGCACATTAGGGAGAGTAAGGAATGAATGAAGCTGCAGCATATTTCCAAGCTGAAGTTACTTTCTAGTACACATTATCTTGTCTCAGGGCTTTTGAAAAGGTTTTGAATGGACATCAAAACAAAACTGAAACATTTTTGGAAGGAATAATGTTTTGGGCAATTTTTAATGAGTTATTGGAATGAAAGTGTAATGTTACTTTTTTTTTTTTTTCCCTAAAACTGTCTAGTGTCTGCATTGGTGTAAGAGTGACTAAATTTTTGCGTGGGGGAGGGGAAAGGAAAAGGTTCTATTTCAGTTTAAATGTTCTTGACCTTCATTGGCTCAACCCAAGCAATCTGTGAATGAAAAGTTTACATGGAAATCTGATTGCAGTATTAAGTTTCAGGAAAAAAAATAGTTAATTATTTTATGTTTTCTTATTTATAAGTTACTGTAATTGTGTTACAAAGAAAACAGGATTCATCACTCATTAAATGAGATTACCTTACCTAGAAATTGTTTTCATTCTTGACAGTGCTTTTAGAAACCATTACCAATTTTGTAATAAGCTCCTTTATTCCCATTCAAAAGGTGCATCATGAAGATTCTCTAAGAAGCTCTGTCTAGAGACATCTATAAAAATGAGATTGAAAAGATTGATAAGTACTCTCCATTTTTTTCATATTTATGTTATTTAGTATTAAAATATTTTTTACAGTATGAATTTCTACTTTTTCCATATAAGATGTTAATAAGTCATATTTCACCCCTTCGATTATGCAACATCACAACTACTTTTTTTTTTTTTTTTTTTTTTTTTTTTTTCAATCCTGAAATGGTCTTCCATTTTCCTTAATTCCTATTCAGCTACATATGGGGAAAAAAAGAAATTATATATCTACCATATTTGCAGGAACACTGTTAATTTCTTCTTAGCAGCATCTAGCATCTAGCTAAAAAGTATTCCAACATGTAGCTTTCTACCTTTGAAAGGTTTTAGGCTTCAGTGATTGAGGGTTTTCTCTGTTTTTAAACCTTTGCTGAAATGTAGAATAATAACGAGGATGCAGGACACATCATTAATGTGGTTTATAAGGCAGAGTTTTATGTTACTTCAATGATATTAAAGTAACTATTATTGTAATTTGAAAAGCATTTAAAAATACTGAATCTCTTTAAATAAAAATCATTCCGTGAAATATCTGTTCTCTATAAACTTTGTTCCTGACAGCTGAAAACCAAATCACCACACAAAGAAGCTTTGGTGTCAGTACCCGGCATGTACAGACAGTGTTGTCATGCCATGGAAACTGTGTTTTTAAATATAGAAACAGTGCATCTGTAGGACTTACTTTAAAGCAGAGAAGCAGAGCTGTGTTTTCCGTCAGTGGCATCTGCCAGGTTGTGGGTGATACTAGATTGTGGCAATATGGTTAAATTTGTTAGCTTGTGTATAATTATGCTACAGGAGAAAGGAATGTGCTTCACTGCCAGAAAAGGAGGAGAGAACGAAAGCATGAAAAGAGTTACTCAGTGAAAAGAAATCCAGCAACACCATCCTGGGTAACATCCATATTCAAAATTTGGATGGTGGGAAGAATTGTGGTTAATGTCCGAGGTAGTTTTCATTTGGATTTCATTCTTCTGATTTTATATGATTCAGCTCTCTGTCTTAAAAGCTGCACATCTTCTAGTTCACTGTAAGAATAAGTCTATTTAAGCCTTGTTATTATCAGGCCAAATATGAAACTTCTGCTTCTCAAATTCTGAATGTGTTTAAATTCTCTTTTAAATTGGAGCTAGTGTTTTTGGCATAGATGATCAGGATATTATCATTTGATAGTGTTGTTTCACTGCAAAAAAGGAACTGAAAATGTAGCCCAAAAGGAATTGCCAGTTGTTTATCCTGTCTTCTGGTTTTTCTTCCTCCCCTCTATGGAAATTTTTCTACATGCTCACTATCTACTTTCCCTTTCCTTTTCTTCCTTTTCCCCATCCTTCTGCATTCTCTAAGTGCTCCATTCCCCAGTTCTCTTCCCACAAATGAACAGGAGTCTTCTTTCCCCTACTGAATTTACCTCTCAAGGTTTCTGCTTCCAAAAATAAAGATTAATTCCCTTAATGCTCAGTGCCTTCCCTTTCATAATATTAATTGAATGATCACCAACAGTTTTTTTCATATGCAGACTTTTCAGTTTCTATGTTAAAATTGGGAGAAAAAAAAAAAAAAAAAAAGTTCTTCAATTCTGTGAAAAGACAAGTGGACAAAGAAAATTCCACATGCCAGTCATCCCATTCAGGTATGCAAGAGCAGCAGTACCAGAGCAACAATTTTTTTGCCTTCTGTTGGCACCCAGTGTGGAATTGCTAACACGTTTTTGTAAGTCTGTAAAATTTCTCAAAGATGTAGCAACAGTAGAGGGTAGAATTGTTTAACCCTGTCTAAAGGCTCCTGTGGGGCTTAAGTTTCATATAACTTCACTTTCTAATTTTAATGTTTTTATTTTATAGTATTCTTGTGAGATGGTTCTCATTGAAGGAACGAAAACAGTGCTGGTAAATTTAAGCTTTCTGATTCACCCACCAGTGATGAAGGGGAGAATGTAGTCTTCTAGTTTATTCACTTTCTGTGGTCTAGTGTTCAGCCACGATGTCTTGGCTTGTGTCTACTGCATCTGGGACTTCCAGATGTTCTCTTATCCAAGTACAGGACAAGCCCAGGAATGTTTGTCCTCCTAGGTCATTTGCATGAGATGAAATGTAATTGGAATTGCCTTTACTCTAGCTCCATCTTCAGTGGAGTTCAGATCATTTGAATGTGTCTGTTTCTTGATGTGCAATAAGTTAAGCTGAATTGTTAAAATAGACCGCATATTGTAGATTGATGAAACAGGCGATTTATATTAACCAGTTATGCTTATGACTTCAAAATACATGTGCAAACCATGTGAAATCTCATCACACAGCCATACACAGGCATTGGATCTAACAGGTAATATTGGAAAGGAAGAACTCCAGTATTACTGAAG